GGCTATTAGGTTCAGGGCTAGGAGTGTAGCTTCCTAGCACAGCTCCTGCCTGGCAAGTGTGAGGGCCTGAGTTCAATTCCTGGTATCAAAAAATAAAGGTAGGGGCCGGGGAGATGGCTCAGTAGGATAAGCGCTTGACTGGCAAACTCAAGGATCTGAGTTCAATCCCCGGTTCCGCCAAATCAATCAATCAACCAACCAATAACAAATGCTGGAGGGACTGTGAGGAAAGAAGAATCCTTCTCCACTGCTAGTAGCAGTGTAGATCACTGTGGCAATCAGTGTGACGATTTCTCAGAAAGGTAGGATTAGAGGTCCTATTTGGCACAGCTATTCCCCTGCTGAATATCTTCCTAGAAGAATTAAAAAACATCACACCACAGCAATATATGTGCAGCCCTGTTTATAGCAGCACAAGTTGTAACAACTAGATCTCAGAAACAACCCAAATGGCCCATCAACCCAGGAAAAGATTTTTTAAAAAGATGTTATCTTTTTGTACAATGGACTATTACTCAGCCATAAAGGATAAACTGGAGCCTTTTATAGGTAAATGGGTACAACTTGAGACCATAGTCAAAAGGAAATAAACCAGACACACACCTGTAAACATCATATTGTCTCCCTAATGTGAGAAGCTGAGCCAATAAGGTCCAAAATGTACAACAGATATTGTAAAATGGAGGAATGGAGAAAAAAAATTACATATATATATATATATATATATATATAGTTAAACTATTAATTTCTCTTAGTTCTTTGAAAGGAAAGGTTTGTGCTAATATTGTTTGGACAATTAAATGCCAATATCTTGTACTCTAAGTAATTAAAAGATAACAATAAGCAATATATTAACCATTGTTACCTTCCTATCATCTTGTTTTGAAATTGTGTATATTTTTCTCTTTAAAAGAAAAAAGCAGCAAGCTAGGGGAAGAGCCTGACATAAAGCTTGATGAGGGGCCGGGGAGATGGCTCAGTGGAATAAGTACTTCCCTGGTAAGCACAAGGGTCTGAGTTCAATCCCCGGTTCCGGGAAA